AGCAGATGAACATTTGTATTCAGCTGTACACATTGTCCTGAAAGTTTAGTGATCCTGTATGTCTGACTGTTCCCCCTTTTGTTTCTCAGATTGACTTCATGCCCCATTTAGCCCATCAGAATACTATGTCTTGGCACGTTTTATTGCACTAGAAATATCCATTTCATCATGAGAATTATGTACTTTATTTTTGGCTTCTTCTTGTAAGATGGGAGATACATAGAGGAAATAGAAAGGAGATTGCAACAATTAAAGCTTAACTTTCTTACTAGAGCCAGTGAGTGATTACTGTCCTCCTCCAGGAGCATGAAAGTAAAGAGCAGGGCTTTGTAAATGGCAGATTGTGCAGACCAATTTAATTTCCTCCTCTGATAGAGTGACAGTCCAAGATTATAAGGAAAGAGAAATAGATACTATCTATATGGACTCTAGAAAGGCTTTTGATTTCATCCAACATGACATTCTCATCAATAAATTAGGAAGGCCTGGTCCAGATCACATTGTGGTTAAGTGAAAACCCCACTTGACAGAAGGGCTTCACCCAAAGTGGGACTGGTGAATTCTTCTGTTACCTTTACACCAGGTGCAGTCTCGCATCTTGGAGTTCTGTTTGGAAGAGCAACGTACTTGACAGGTACGTCGCCACCAGGAATACCTTTGAAAAAAGGCATCAGGAATACTTTTAAAAATATCAAAATAGAGATAAGGGCAATTAAGAATGTTTTTAAATATCATAGAACCAGACTTAAAGAAAGATTTAATACCTACATACCCTAAAAAAGGCTTGGGCACCAGAAGAAAACTAACCTCCATTCACGAATGTTGCTGTTGTCACTGGTTCATGGCACATTCAAACCTAGATACAGAATATTAGAGTTAGAGGGACCTTTGGTGTTAAATTATCCATTCTCATTTTGCAGAAGGCTGTCAGCTCAAGACAACACAGCTAGTTAATTGCAGGACAGGGACTAGAACTCCTAGCTCAGTGTTCTTTTTGCTACAAATTTTCACCATTGACTTTTTTTTTTAATACTTTTATTGAGGCATATTTTATGTATTATATAATTCACCCATTACAAGTGTACAATTTAATGATTTTTTTATAAACTCATCAAATTGTACAGTCATCACCATAAGTCAGTTTTAGAACATGTTTATTACCCCATTGACCTTTCATGTCATTAACTGTTAACTCCATCAGCCCACCCTCCAGCCCTAGGCAACCACTAATCTACTGTCTATCTCTCTGGATTTGCCTTTTTAGATATTTAATATTAATAGAATTATACGATAGCTGGTCTTTGTGTCCCTTTTACTTAGCATAATGTTTTTGAGGCTCATCCATACCTTAGCATGTATCAGTAGTTTGTGCTTTTGTATTGCTGAATAGTAGTCCATTGTATGGATATACCCCATTTTGTCTATTCATCAGTTGGTGGATATTTAGGTTTTGCCCAGTTATAGATATTATAAATCATGCTGCTAGGAATATTCATTAGTAATGGGCTCAAGCATAGATGGCAAGGGTTGTGAAGATGGTGCAGTGCCATGCAGTGTTTCATTCTGTTGTACGTAGGGTCTCTTAGTCAGAGCCAACTCAATGACACCTAACAACAAAACAAGAACATTCATATGTCACCATACAAATATTTTTAAGGTCAGTAGCTCTTTCTCCTCAAATTAGGGTTAAATTATCCATCAGAGGTAGCCTCTTCCCCTAACCTGTGTCTCCAGCTCTGGATAGTAGAGTTCCCTGAAATGACAACTAAAGTTGCTATTAATGTTCTAATAAATAGCCTTAGGGGGTTAAATGGTCCAGAGGAAAAAGGCTTGTTAATCTAATAACAGTCTTTTATTCTCTGATGGCTTATGAGAAACTGTTAGCCAAATGCCCTCCATCTTCACAGAAAATAAATGAGAGGAATTGGATTTAAACTTCAGCAGAAAACACTTCAGATAGTCGTAAGGAGACTCATTTTATATGGCAGTGGATGAAATCGAGTTAATTTGCAATATTATAAAAACAAAACTCATGTAATTTCCTCTGAGAGAAGCTTCTACGAATGGATTTCAGTTTGTCTGAGGCCAGATGGCCCCTTGTGAGTCCCTAAAAGAAGAGAGTCCTTCTGTGATTTTTTTTTTTTTGGTGTGGTTAAGGAAGACATTTGGCCTTTTGTGTTCACAGAGGCCATTTCATTGTACTCATGAGAAATAAAACCAGTCATTGGAGAGTTTTGTACAAATCACTGGGTGTGGCAGAAGAAGATGGGACATTGCTCCAATGTCCTAAACAGCAGGCCTTCTAGCTACTGTTCTCTCCCTAATAATAGGGGCAATAATCATTCTTGAATTCTAGAGTTTTACAGTTACAAAGTAATTTCACATCTAATCCCCTTTTGAGCCTGTAGTGGTTCCTACAGTTACCTGTGGAATGGACTCTGTCACATGGCTGTTCAAAGTCCTTTCCAATCCAATCACATCCTATTGTTCTGCCTTTATCTCCTGTCATGTCCAGGGATGGACTCTAGTCACATTGGACTATTCATCTTCTCTGGAATACCTCACCTGCTTTAGCTCCTGTGTGTTTTTACCAGACTGTCTCTCCATATCCCTTTGTCTATTTGGAGAACTCGCACTCAGCGTGTAGTCAGGCCTACACACTATTTCTTCTGTAAGTAAATATTCTCCTTTCCTGGGTCTCTGCATAATTCATTGCTCCCTGTTTTGAGTACCATAAAACAAAACAAAACAAACCCACTGCCATTGAATTGACCCCATATGTTACAGAGAAGAACTACCCCATAGGGTTTTCTTGACTGTAATCTTTATAGAAGTAGGTCACCAGGTCTTTCTTCTGTGGAGCTGCTGCAGAGGTTTGGACCACCCATGTTTGAGTTAGCAGCTGATTGCAAACAGCTTTTGCCACCCACAGGGCTTTGGACACCCATACTGATTGGATAAGACAGTACAAAGTACTAGCTGTATGACTTCAGGTTAAGTAGCTTACCTTCTCTATGTTTTTCTTTCCTTTTCTGGACTATTTTTGTTATCTTTCAGAGGAGTCCTATGAAACTCGAATACCAATGCATATTATAAGCAAATGTAATGGATTAGGAGTAAAAGTAGAAATAAGAGCGTAACACTTCAGAGTATAATTATAACCACTTGTCTGTGGATTGTCTTGATCCTTGAGAACAGCATTCCTGTTGTGTTCACTTTTGTATCCTAAGCAGTGAGCCCAAGCCCTGATACAAAATAAATTGGATTGAATAACTGTAAAGTGAGATACTGTTGTCATCATTTGCAGACTAGAAATTGAGGCCCCAAATGTAATGATTCAGTCACTTGTGAATCACCTTCTTGGTCACCTTTTCCTGAGTTCACCATAGACCTTCTAGAGACCTTGGAGGACTTGTACACTGGGTATATTTGGTATCAAGGGTTTTTAGGTGCCTTCGAGTCGACTCCGACTATGATGACCCAATGTATAACAGAATGAAATGTTGCTCAGTCCTGTGTCATCCTCACAATTAATAGACAGGTTTGAGCCCATTGTTACAGCGACTGTGTCAATCCATCTCATTGAGGGTCTTCCTCTTTTTCACTTACCCTCTGCTTCACCAAGCATGATGCCCTTCTCCATGGACTGGTCCCTCCTGATCATGTGTTCAGAGGAAGCAAAGTGAAGTCTCACCATTCTTACGTCTAAGGAGCATTCTGGCTGTACTACTAAGATAGATTTGTTCATTCTTCTGGCAGTATATAGTATATTTAATATTCTTCACCAACGCTATAATTTAAATGTGTCAAGTCTTCAGTCTTCCTTTTTCATTGTACAGCTTTTACGTGCATATGAGGTGCTTAAAAATACCATGGCTTGGGTCAGGTGCATCTTAGTCCTCAAGGTGACATCTTTGCTTTTTAACACTTTAAAGAAGTCTTTTGCAGCAGATTTGCCCAATGCAATATATGATTTGATTTATTGACTGCTGATTCATGGCCATTGATTGTGGACCCAAGTAAAATGAAATCCTTGGCAACTTTGATATTTTCTCCATTTATCATGGAGTTGCTTATTGATCCAGTTGTGAGGATTTTTATTTTCTTTATGTTGAATTGTAATCCATACTGAAGGCTGTAGTCTTGGGTCTTCATCAATAAATACTTCATGGGAGGGCGTGTACTCTGATTCAGTCATCAGGGATGCTGCTGTTGTTAGTTGCCGTTGAATCAGTTCACACAATCCGACTCATGTTGGCTCCTATGTGTGCAGTGTAGAACTGCTCCAGGGGGTTTTCAAGGCTTTAACCAAGTATATCCATGGGCCCCACAGTAGATCTACCGAATCAGAACCTCTGGAGCTGGGCCCTCAGGGGGCCTGTATTTTAATAAGAATCCCCCTTGCAAGTTTTTCTTAAGCATATTGAATTTTGAGAACTTCTGTAAGGGGATTAGGTAGATATCTTTCCAATGTCCAAGAATTCTTCAGTTCTACTCTGACAATGAAGATTCCTTACAAAAGAAATTCATGAGACATTTACCTTCTCCTGCTAGGAAAATGCATATCATCTTTTACGTGCTTAGAGAAAGAGAGAACTAAGAAATCAATGAACTCTAGAAATGTTCATTTTTGTATTGGTACAGTTTTTATAACATTTTATATAATACGTATTATGTTCTTATAATGTATATATTTATATTTTTCCTTTTGAAAATATTATGGCTTCGAATGGGTTAGCCATGCTATAGTTTATGAATATTTATCTAGAAGATTGGAAACAGTTTGATTGAAGCCTTCTAAAAAATGGCAGGTTCTAGGACCTAATGGAATTCAGGCAACTCAAATCTAAGGTGAGGCATCATACGGGGTGTGGTGCAATGTAAGCTGGTAGAGAAAAGCCAGTTCTTCCACATGTAAGCTACTTAGACTCCATCTCAGCTCTCTCCGTACCGTCTCCAAGATTCTGACAGCTTTTACACTTGCTCGTTAAACCGAAAGCATGTTTCTTGCAAAGGCTTTGTTGGAAGGGGCTGATCGAGGTCTTGGAGAAGCTCTCGGAGGCCTTCTTGGAGGAGGAGGTCAGAGAGCAGGAGGAGGAAGAGGAGGAAATATAGGAGGGATAGTTGGAGGAATTGTGAATTTTATCAGTGAGGCCGCAGCAGCTCAGTATACTCCAGAACCGCCTCCCACTCAGCAGCATTTCACCAACGTGGAGGCCAACGAAAGTGAGGAAGTTAAGCGGTTTCGGCGACAATTTGTGCAACTGGCTGGACCGGACATGGAGGTGGGTGCCACTGACCTGATGAATATTCTCAACAAAGTTATTGCTAAGCACACAGATCTGAAGACCGATGGCTTCAGTCTGGACACATGCCGGAGCATTGTATCTGCCATGGACAGTGACACGACTGGGAAGCTGGGCTTTGAAGAATTCAAGTATCTGTGGAACAACATCAGGAAGTGGCAATGTGTGTATAAGCAATATGACAGCAACCATTCTGGGTCTCTGGAAAGCTCTCAGCTGCGAGGGGCTATACAGGCAGCAGGCTTCCAGCTGAATGAACAACTCTACCAAATGATTATCCGCCGGTATGCCGATGAAGATGGGAGTATGGATTTTAACAACTTCATCAGCTGCCTCGTTCGCCTGGATGCCATGTTTCGTGCCTTCAAATCTCTGGATCGAGATGCTGATGGCCTCATTCAGGTGTCTATCCAAGAATGGCTGCAGCTGACCATGTATTCCTGAAGTGGGCACTGAGAAGGCTGGCCCGACCCTGGAGGACAGGACTGCCAGGACCTGAGCTGTGCTGTCCCTAGGATTGCTGGTACCCACTTGCAGCTGTCAGTCCCTGGCCAGCTGTCACTGTTCTTTCTGTCTCTGAGCTTGCGGCACCTTTTACTGCTTGATTAAAAGAGATTTTTCATGAGAAGTGATGTGATTGGAGTGGTTTGTATACTGGCTTTTTGAGATACTGGATTCACGTAGACTTTATATAGGTAATGTCGGGATGGGGGAGCTTGCAGGGCAGGGCCCGGAGTAGATATTTAATGGTTATTGCTTATTTGGTAAATAATTTCCAAGGAGTAGGAACTTTGCTGTTGTTGTTAAGAATGAAATTTTGAAAAAGTCCTAAAATAAATCAAGGATGTACTCAGGAGGTAAGTTTTTCCCATTAAAAAGGTGAGAAGGAAAGTTCCAAATCTGTTTTTCTCTTAATTTCACATCTGGTCTTTCCATTACAGTAAAAATAAAAAGTGCTTTCCAGGAAAACTCCCTATTGAACCATGTAGAAGCAGCATCATAAATGTGAAATTAAGTGATTTCATGTCGGGGTAGTAGTGGATTAGGGTAGAGCAACTATCTAAAATTCTAGAATTCTTATAGTCCTGTTTCTCTAGTGAAATAAGCATATAAAAATGAAACCAAACCCACTGCCACTGAGTGGTTCCAACTCACAGTGACCGTACAGGACAGAGTAGAATGGCTCCATAGTGTTTATAACACTGTAGATCTTTACAGAAGCAGACTTGACTGCCTCATCTTTCTCCCACGCAGCGGCTGGTGTGTGGGAATTGCCGACCTGTTGGTTAGCTGCCAAATGCTTTAACCACTGCGCCACCAGAATGCCTCAGAAAATTAGCATATAGCAATTCTGTTTTGTTTTGAAATATTTCTAAAGAGAGTCAAGGGCACTGGGGAATAAAGGGTGTACCAGTAGTTCGAGATGTTTCTGGCAGCTTTAATTAATCAACACCATCACTCTTATGTGTACTTGATACAAAATCAGGCATGCTCAGCTCTTGCCATATCTTGCCCTGCCTTGGAGCAAGTAAAGTTATTTTTTGTTTTTGTTTCTGTTTGAAAACTATACACAGGAAAAAAGTAAAGAGAGAAAAGAAGAAAAACAGAGTAATCAGTTAAATGGGATATAAAGCAATAAATATAAAGGAAATATCACTGGTGTTTGATTACAGTGGTCCTCAAGCCCGGGCTGCAATTTAGAGTCACTGGGAGAGCTCTTTAAGAACACGTACTGATGGCTGAGCCCCACCCCAAACAAGTTAACTAAGATTCTTTGGAAGTGGGGTCCAGAGATGAGTATGTTTAAGCTCCCCATGCGGTTCTCGTGAGCAGCCAAGGTTGAGAGTCACTGCGCGTGAAGTAAGACTGTCTCAGGATTTCTGAAACCTGGCCCAGCTGAACGGGAGGCTGAGCTAGGAGAGTCAGTATTGCCAGTGCCCAGGGGCAGAAGGATAAGGATCCTGAGAAACTGGCACCCATAAACCGGTGGTCACGCTCTGCTTGTGTGTATACCCTTGTTCGGCTTTATACTTTGGGTTCAGGCTGCGGTAGCAGGACAGCCGGAACCCCAAATCCTGCTGCGAAGTGGACTTGGACGAGAGAGGCTGCACTCTGGAGTACATTTCCTCGGCCTGCTCTTTAACTAGTTTCCACTCCTCCTGCGTCTCTGTTTTTTAATACATTCCCTCTCGTCCAGGCTATTTTTGGAGGGGCCAGAATAGCCCGGGAGAGAGGGAATCCATTAAATTTATCGTAAGTTGAAAGATAAATTCTCCCTTTCTCTTTTGACTTATTCAGAAGAAAATTGTAACTATGGAAATTATGTAACTGGCCTGTTAACAGCCCTCAGCTGCCTTTTAGAAACTCCCAGTGAAATTTGGAGAAGTTGACATTTGGCCTCTGTTTTCACCATCATCACCATCTAATACTTATGAAATACCAATACATTTGATTCCAAACTGTTCCAAGTGCGGAGATCACATCCCCCTTCCTCAAGGGACTTGTTGTTTCAGCTGGGTGTGCTACTTAGACCATGTGTGGTTACAGAAGTAATAAGGCTGCTGCCAGAAGCCACACATTAATATTAGTCTCCCTGTTAGATTGTTGTTTATTACTTGCCGACGAGTTGGTTCCAACTCATGTTGTTGTTAAGTGCCGTCGAGTCGTTTCCAACTCATAGCGACCCCATGCACAGCAGAACGAAACACTGCCCGATCCCG